TAGTATGGCTCTACAGCTAGCTAGTATGGCTCTACAGCTAGCTAGTATGGCTCTACAGCTAGCTAGTATGGCTCTACAGCTAGCTAGTATGGCTCTACAGCTAGCTAGTATGGCTCTACAGCTAGCTAGTATGGCTCTACAGCTAGCTAGTATGGCTCTACAGCTAGCTAGTATGGCTCTACAGCTAGCTAGTATGGCTCTACAGCTAGCTAGTATGGCTTCTGGGATTAAAGATATGTACCACCATTGTCTGGCTCTATGGGTTATGGCTAGCTTTGCTTTTTGCACCCTCAGGCAAGTTTTAATAAATCATAAATAATGTATCACCACATTAAAGTAAGTAAATAAACCCACTCAATAAAAAACCCAATTCCATGATGCTCACAGCTTTAATACTGCAGAGGTTCCTAAAATATCTGTATGGACAAGCTGCACCTAACAATTTTACAGTCACTAACTTCCTTAGGCAAAAATCTGATATTATTCTCCACTACCTAGTACTAAAGGGCAAACTATATTTATTCTCAGAAGTGGGTTTCTAACAAAGCAATGTGTGACTATATAATGAAAAGTGGGAAAAATACAAGCTTTTTAAAGCTGTCTGAAGTTAGACCTGGCTTGGATGAAAGGAACACACCTTGTCCTCACTAGAAAACTCCCCGTCTAAACAGCCTCTTCTAGCTGGAAATACACTGCCCTTCCTGGGCTAGCCTACTCTAGGAAGAGGCACCTTTGGATGTGCAAATCAATAGTGCAGGCCAACCTTTTCTGCCAGGTGTGTGCCTCCAGGAGATTGTATTATTTTGCCCGGACTGCCTCAGTCCAGAAATAGCCCTGAGACCGATCACCCCTATAGTTTGCAGCCAGCCAAGTTATTCAGACTAACTCCAAGCTCTTCACTCTGATCTGCCTTGCCTTATCATGTGTTATGGAATGCTATCCCCGGGCTATGATCATCTCCCTCCTAACAGCCCTGATTACTGGCAGGAGAACATCCAGATCAGGCCTGCCAATGATCCCTGAGGAGTGCACTGCTCTCCCAGACTGATGGAAATCTCTCCTGCTTGCACACAGTCTGGGAAACTACTATAGTACAGACAGGGTGGAAGGTTAGCTCAAGTAAGAGACTCCAGTGATGCAGGTATGGGAAAGTAGTCTTAGTAACAGTCTTGCTTTGAGATGTATGTTACCCTGCAGCCCCCTTCAGAACTTGTTCTACAGCCTAGCCTCGGGTGCATCCAACAGTTGTGTGTCAGTGAGGCTTGAGAAAAAAATAGGAGAGTGGTGTGTGGAAGAAAAAGATGGACAGAAATGACAGGGATTCCAGTTGCTAACAACCAAAGAAAGAGAACCGTTGAAGGGAAGCAGTCAGTCACATAAGGCTGAATGGAAAAGGGAGCCCTATTCCTATTGGCAGAGAATGGAATTCACATGCAAATATAGTTTTTACTTCCAATTTTCCACCAAGAGAAGCTTCCTGACTGACCTTATCTTCCATTTCAAATGCACTTGTCCTAAAAAACAAAAAAATTTAGGAGTGAAAATACTCAATTATGTCCCCTTCAACAAACCTTTCTCTTCCTACCTGAGCAGCAATATAAACAATATTACATTAGCCATGGAAACACACCCACATAAAGGAATTATTAATCTTCAAAAAGGCTAAGGCAGAATTTGATGAAAGCTGAAATGTATTTTCACAGATGGCTGTGCTATGGTATATTTGATTAGAAAAATATTAAACAAAGCAATATTCCATTTCTGTTTTATTCTCTGAAAGCAATTATTACATGAAAAGGTAGATAGGCAGAGCATAGTTAACAAACAAAGACTAAAGAGTTGTCATCACTTCCAAAGTATTCTGGAAAGTAAATGAAGGTCACTGGCCAATAACATGACAGTAAAATAGAGCAATGAAAAAAATCCATATTGCCCACATACACATACTTATATCCCACATCAGAGTTGGAAGGAATAAGAGATAAATGGCCCAGTATTGATTGTTCTTACAGGAATATGACAACCACCCAAAGAAGAGAAACAGAACGTCTCTCCTCTTACATAAAAAGTAAATTACATATGAAAAAAATCACTACTCTCAAAGCAAGATTCAATGAAAAAAATATGCCTGGCTTTGACAGGGCAAATTCCAGGCATTGTGTATTTTCACAGAAGCTGGTCCTAAAGGAAAGATTTAAGTGTTACAAAAATCTATGAACCTTCCCACAGATTGTCATAATTTCCCTGTAATAGCAAACAAGGCGTCCATCGCCTTAGTACCTACCTCTCCCCCTAAGGGATCCTGCATGGTGATGATATGTTTGTTTCCTTCTGAAAAGCATACAATAAAATAGCTGCACTGTAGAAGGCTGGGAGATGGGTCAGTGGGTGACATGCTGTTGTACAATCTTGAGCTCCTTGGTCCTCACCCCACAAAACACATAATGAAGAGCCGGGGGTGGTGCCAGCTACTTACAATCCTAGCTCTGGAGAAGCAGAAATAAGTAGATCTTTGGGACTCACTGGCCAGCCAGCCTAATCTAATTTTCAAGCTTAGGGGCCAAAGGAGAGGCTCTGTCTCAAAACACAAGGTAGACAACTCCTAAGAAGGACCTGAGATTGACTATTGGCCACCACAGGCACATATTTACATGTGATACCCCCTCCTCACATAAACAAAAATGTAGCAGCCATGTAGATATTACATAATAAATGATACTGTCTTATACCATTACAGTAATATACCATGAATATATCATGATTTACTGTATGTGTGTGAGTACGATTGAGGCTAAATGGAAGAATGAACCATGAGATGATTCATTGTGTCCCACAAAATATTATTTAAACAGTAGAGAATTTCTACTCCCCAACATCCCTTTCCACCCTTCAAAATGTAGATGGAAGCTATTGTTTTCTGTTTTTCAAAGGTTTAAGCCAAAAAAATTCTCTAAAACTCAAATGATTTCTGTGTCAGAACTTTTGAACATTTGCCTACACTTTTTACCTTTCCTTCCACTCTCTTTTCAGAACATTGCAAGAGTTTTTAGACACCAAGTTCTGGATCATATTATAATTTCAGAATGGCTGTTGTTAGACAGGAAAATTGCTTCAAAAGTCACATTTGGGCCATGAGAATAAGTCCACCCACACATTCTGTTCCATTTGTGTTATCATTCCCGTCCTTCAGCTGACACCATGACCCTTGGAAAACCAGAGAGGCCATTGTTTTAGTCCTGTATCCTTAACCTCAGGGTACCTCAGTCTTTATTCTCTGCCCCCTTTTGCCCTTTGGAGATAATTGACTGTGCTTTGGTGCCTATATTATATATGTTCCAACCTGTTCACCAAACATTAACTGTTTGGGATTAAAATAGTTTCTTAGAAGCATTTTCAGCCTTGCCTTGAACTCCTGCCAAACCTACAGCTCTCCACAGAAAGGAAAATGCTGAACATTCAAAGCAGAGTGGGGATTACTCAGAAAGAGATAATAAATAGCATATTACTGCTTGTGGCACGAGGGGGAAACTCAATTTGTTTGTATCTTAATGGTTTAACCATGACAACAGGATGAGGTCTTAGGAAAGGTACTAAGAACACAGGCGTCTTGCCAAGAAGTGAGAAAAGCTTGCAGAATGGTTTTGCCATGGAAATCATATCACAAGGCAGGCAGTATTGATGCAGACCCATCAAGAGAGACTACTTGAGTAGCCTGGCAATGCATTATTTCAAATGCAAATGCTAAGAGCATTAAAAACTGATGCAGTAAATCAGGATGAGGATAACAACAGTAGGAGTTAAACTGGAGTCTGTTGATATCGGGCTGATACCTCACCTGAGAGAGGAACTCTTTCCTGACCTTTGTCAGGATCGACAGGTTTGGATGCAGAGGACTGCCTGCCTTGGGAAGAAAAAAAACACATTGGTAAAGTAACAAACATCACTGCCATCACTTATGTAAAGAATACTCTAGAAGGCTGCTCTATTATTACTATCTCATCATCCTATAACACACATGAAAACATAAGGCCCAATGATAGCATAAGCAACTTCCCACTGATTATACAGCCAATAGAAGGTAGAGTGAAGATTTCAATCAAACAGCAAAGCTCACAAGAATTCCTGTACTACACCTACCTGTCCTGCCTTTATAATGGGCTATTAAAGTCTCAACACGAAGACACAGGCATCACTAGAAAGGCAGGCATTTTGCCAACCATTCACATACTCATGTGTTTAACAGAAAGTCACTGAGCACCTCCTGTGGTCATAGATTAATGTTAGGAGTCCTCAGTGGTGTTTCATGATAAATAAGCAAGATAACTCACTTCTGATTTAGGATTTACAATTTAGCTAGGGAAATAAGTGAGAAAAAGAGAAGGCAACATACAGAGTTATGGAAGTAAATATTCTAGCATGGTGGTAGAAAGCTAACTTTCCTCATCATGGCTAGGAGGTTTAGCAAGACACCAATAGCAAGGCCCTGCTTGCACTTTCTGATTTGGACTGTGGTTGGGTCCAAGAATTTGCACTTACATCAAGCTACTGGAGGATTTAGATCCCACTTGGAGAATGGCTGCTCTTGGGGCTATGTGGCTTGGGGAGAACAGTTTATGTAGCACTATACAAATCCCTGAGCTTATGAAAAAGAGCCATTGACCCATATAGATGTAACTTGAAGCCTACCAGAAAGTGTCCCTTGCTCCGCTTTGAAATATCAATAAACTCCCTAAGACAGGTGACACAGTCAGCCACTGAGAGCCATTCCTAGACAGGATCTGACAGAATGAGACACCGAGTGGATAGCATTTGGTAATAGAGAGATGAAAGGAAAATGCCAAGATGTAAGGCCAAAGTGAGATGCCCTGAGTACATCACTGAGGAATTCAAAGGCAACATTCAAGATGCTGACATTTTAGTGGCCAGAATGCTAATGGGAAGGAAATCACAGGGAGGGAATTTTTTTTACTCATTAATCCAAGAAACATGCTTCATCTTACCAATGCTGCTGCTCGTTCATTTAATTGACATGATGATTAAACTAGCCTATGGTTTCCTGGGTCTTGTTCCTATATATGCAAGAAGAAGAAAAAACCTAAGTGTTTCTTGTCAGTAAAAGGTTTTCTTACCTTTTAGAAAAATACATGGTAAGAGTAAAAAGAAATAGTATTGGACAAAAGCAAAATTGTTTAAAATCCATATGTGTATACAAAGAGAGTCACTGCCTATATAAGCAATGATGTACATACATATATATGTTATATACATATGCATATATACAATGATGTGTTGCTCAATAGGAGGATATGTTCTAGAACCTTAACTATTAGATACTTTTGTCTTTATGCAAACATCACAGAGTTAAAACCATTTGTATAGTATAATCTATTGCACACTTAGGTGATGGTATATGTATATGTTACAACCTATTGTTCCTTGTATCATAATGAACAAATTAAGAGGGTATGAGATATACAAAAATATAATCAAGATATAGTAAACACAAGATATGAGAGATGGTATGGACACAACACAGCATCCTGTTTCACAGCATTTGTTTTCAATAGGCAGAAAACCACACTCTAAAACAATGACTAAAATATAGATGATAAGTATATCAGAGAATAATATAGTCCTTTATTATCATTATCAGAAATTATGGCTGTACATAATTGTATGAACTATGGTTATAAGTGAATGGCACCCAGTAAGTCTGCACACCCCTGTGTGATGCTTGGTGCTGTGATATCACTAGGTGATAGGAATATTTTAGCTCTATTGTAATCTTAAGTAGACAACATAATGCAATGTATATGATACGTCACTAAAACATCATTATATGTTACATGACTTCACACATACAAATGACTGTTTTTCAGGTCGACTGGCTAAAGACCACAGAACACAAGTGCTCAGCATGCTAGGTTTAAGCAGCCATGCTACAACAGGCACAAGTACTGGCAGTCTGCTCATCTTCCTTCCAGACCAAGTGTAGCAGAATGGATGGTGACATTAGGTGCCACTTTGCTGTGCTCTAGAAATAGCACTGCACTGAACTCAAGACATAGCCTAAGAAATCAGTGCTCAGCCTAATGGGAGAGGTAAAGCCTTGGGGAGATCACTTTGGAGTTGGTCAACTGTTCCGGCTCTCTGGACAAACTTCTTTGAATCCTGGCTCAGACAATTTAAAGCTGGCTGTTTGGTTTTGCCAGATGCCAGGTTTCTAAAGTGAGGACCCACAGGCCAGATCTGATCCTCAGATGTGGCTTGTTTGCTTGGCCTATTCTCTTGCTTATTGACCTTCTTTTCAGAGTTGACTTGAAAGACTGAAATGGAGACCCCGGTCTCCTTCTGCATGCAACCTTCACTGCCTCTGTCCAGTATTTCTGCCTGGCTTTTATGACAACTTAAAATCATCAGCCAATTCCTTGGAAAGAGTTGGCACTCTGACTCCTACCACACGGTTTACAAATTCTCTTTCTCATTTCCAGTACTTATTTCCTATTCATTTTGCCTTGTTGTTTTTCCTCATTTCACTAATGAAAGACCAGGTTTTTCCATAAGGATTTTAATGTTCCTGCGTGAGTGATAAAACTCATGCGTGTGATTGAGGAAGTAGGCTTCTCCACAAAAGTGAAGGATTACTTTTCTGTGCTATTCACAGCGTGCTTCCTATAGCTGGCCAGCCTCCGATAGGCTTGAAGACATTTGAACTAAATAAATGACACTGGTCTAAATCGGGCAGTGTCTTGATTTTAATAATACGGGCATATCATCAGCAGACCAGAATTAGTTCAGAGAATATATTAAATTTAAGGAAGTATGGAGGGGCTTTTGTAAAAAACATTATGACTGCTAAGAGAATGTGAAATGCCCTGAGGCATGTTCATTTTCATTCTGTAATGAACAGGAAACCTTCTGGAGCAAAGGCAGAGTTAATGATGGAAAAACAGCTGGAGATACTGAAACTGAAATTAATCCTACTTACCTGACTCTTCACAACGGATGGAAGGGGAAGGCAGATGGAAAGATGACACTGGGAGGAAAATAGAATCTTGACACGAAGACTCTGGGACCTGGTATTTGTGGTCCATTCTCATTCAATGCTCTCAGAGCTCAAAAGGTGCACTCCTCGCTAATTACAAATAACTGGGGTGATGGCTACCAGGAACCTGTGAAACCTGAAGTGTGAACACTTTCTAAGGAGATGAGGTACTGTTGCTTTCAAGGGCAGATGACTGCAAGGTTGCCCTTCAGTTGCTATGAGAAAAACTAATATGGAGAGGGCACGTCTATTACAAACCTGGACTGGATGCCCAGACTGTATCAATCACTTTAAAGCAGTTTATTTTTAAAAGCTATCCATATCTCCTGTGATCTTGTCCATGGCTTTTAACCATTTTCCTCAAACATGATAGGAAATTTTAGTCCAAAACACATTGCTTTGGGACAAATTTTAGTGCTACTCCATACAATGAAGTTGTTCCACTGTTCTTAGAAATTCTTACAATTATAGGGGGAAAAGATGAAAATCAAAGTGTGTGTGTGTGTGTCTGTGTGTGTGTGTGCATGTAAACTATTCTCACTTCCTCCCATGCTGCTTTAAGCTTTTTGATTGACTCCCAACAGGCAAGAGCACCCACAGATGTTTTATTTTGTGGGCTTTCTTTATGTGCCTGGGTAACTATGGGAATCAGGGAAACCACTTTTCTTTCACAAGTAAATTTGCTGGGGGCATTTGTACTAATAGAAAATTCATTTTACAAACCTATTTTGGATGGAAAAACAATACTTGTGTCCAATCCTAATTCAAAATCAGCTCCTAACCATGAGGACGCTTAAAATTTCTAAGTGCACAGTGTTTCTTTGTTTCAAGCCTGATGCACTGTTCTGCTAACAGTTTCCTCTGAGATAGAAGCATTCAATCTTTCAGAAAAGCTCCTTAAGCAGGAAGGCAAACAATTAAAAGTGGCTTCAGGAAGTCCCTGAAACTGACCAAATTCACTAGGCCCCGCCTTGCCAGAGTTACATAATGAAGCCGAGAGTCCCTCTAAGAGAACATGAAGCCCGGCTGCAAAGAAGACTGGGAAGAGACCAGCTGCCTGGAAGAAGCAGAAACATCTGAGCTGCTTGAAGGAAGTTTAGACCAACTGAGGCACCTGGAAAGGACACCCTCCAACCTGTTGAGCTGCCTCTAGGCTGTGCAGTGTGCTCCAGATTCCCAACTCTGTGAAGTGTCACATACACTAGCGTTGACCTTGGTGATGCTGCTGTCTTTGAGTCATAAAAGTAACTGTAACCTCTCACCCACATTCTTGTAAGTAACCCAAATAAAACTTCTAGTTCACCAAATTGAACCTTAGTGGTGTCTGGGATGAGTATATATGTGTGTTGTATCTCCTTAAGAATAGTTCTGTCATACAACAGGTATCTAAGAAAGAATGCATGAATTCCAGGATATGGGAAGGTGTTTTTCTGGATTTGTGGGTTCACCTGGGGAAGATACCTGTTTGGGGTTTTCTAAAGAGGAAAGAAAAGCAATTGTACACACTACACATTACATTCTCAGTGCACATTCCTTGATGACCAACTTTATGTTTGAAATATGTGAATTGGCACCTTCCCAATGAGCCTTTGCTAATGTCCTCATGAAAAGAAGCCCCACTGCCCTTAACTTCCCCCCTTAGCATTCGTTACTTTCCACTAAACCTGTCTACTTTCTGCTCACCTCAAAACACAAGCATCAAGAGGTCAGGGATTGTGCCCATTTCTCACTGCGGAATCTTCATGACCAAAAACCTCTGGCAGGGATTGGACCTGAAATATCACCAATGCGCTCAGATTTAAATGGTCTGTCCCCAACCTTGGGCACTCTTTTGAAGGTGATTAGAGCCTTTATGAGGTGGGGCCCAGCTATGAGAAGTGAGTCAGTAGTGGATCTTCGACAGGTGCCTACATCCTATCTGCCATCATGTGAACAGCTATGATCCAAGCTTTCACCACCACAGCTGGAGTCATTCCAGCTAACGGGCCTTCTCCATAGTGTTGGATTGAAATCTCTCCAAAACTGTGAACTAAAGATGAACCGGGTTTCCTTTACTCAGTTGTGGGGATTTGAACCATAGTGACAAAACCGTAACAAACACAGGCAGGTATTAGAGTCTCAGTAAATAATTTTTGAATGATTGACTGTAACATCTCAGTGGCAAAGCTCCCATTCTTTTTCCCAGCAAGTCCTGACTCCGGAATCCAAGCAGGAACCTTACCTCTGCCACTCATAGCAGATGGGCTTGGGCAATTGTTTTATTTAAGGTTTTTACTGCTGTGATAAAACACCATGACCAAAGCAACTTGGGAAGGGAAGAATTAATTTCTGATGCTTCTACAACACAGCCCATCACTGAAGAAAGTCAGGGCAGGAGCTCAAACAGCTCAGGAACCTGGAGGCAGGAGCTGATGCAGAGACCAGGGAGGGGTGCTGCTTACTGGCTTGCTTCTCCAGGTTTGCTTAGCTTTTTTTCCCAGAGAATGGAGGACCACCAGCTCAGGGGGTGGCACCATTCACAATGGACTGAGCCCTCCCACATCAGTCACTAATTAAGAAAGTGCCCTATAGGCTTGCCTACAGGCGAATCCTCTAGAGGCAATTTCTAAATTGAGAGTCCATCTTCCCAAATGACTACCTTGTGTTGAGCTGGCATAAAACTAGCCTGGATTGCAAGAGAGTACCTTGCAAGGAATCCTTGGATTCCTCGACCTTAAAAGGCAAGCAGTAACAGTTCCTGTCACAGAAAGGTGTCACAATGATAGTAAAAAAATACTAAAAAGGACATTTTGGACACCTATGGTGTGGTTTCCAGCACACTGGAGACATGCAAAGACCGTTAGCCACTGTTACTGTTGTTGTCTTTATTCCAGAAAGAGAAACCAGCACAGAATATACTTCCATAGCCGCAGCAGAATTCTGCACTTATATAGTTCGTCTCCCACCTGTTGCAAGAACTCCGGCACAGGCCTTGGGAGAAAGTGATTAGTGAAGTCACTACCTACCTTTCTCTTCTGCTCCATGGAACCCTTTCCTTGGGTTCAGGAGGGAGTTTGTGTGCAGTGGC